TCAGAATCCTCCATTTTTAATCAGAAATTTTTTTCAGTGTTGCTATGTCGCTATGATACAAACTGAGCTGTACATTTTTTTTACTGTAAACACGTCGACATAAATGCACCTGTTGAAGTTTTATTTTTAGTTTTTATCTATAAACAATTGCATGCAATAATAGTATTTATGAAGATTGATGTTCTTACACAATTTCACTATTATCGGTGAACTATAAAAAATTAGATATTTTTGCAAGGACCGTTTAAAAACGTCGATTTTGGATTTTGTATTGTTTGAATAGCTCTCTTTTTTGAAAATAAAAACTGTCAAAAAGTTACTTAAATTAAATCGATCCGATGCAGATACTCGAGACACGCTCGACCATTCACATTTACACATGCAGAGTATTGAAAATAGCGTGGGCCGCGAGACGTACATACGATACATACATAACGTGCCGGCAGACCGTTTAGCATTCGGTCAAGTGACGTAAAAATAGAAAGACGCGCGCTCTGCATGTGACTTCGTATAATTAGGCACCGAAGAGAAGTTGTGTCCTATGCTCCTCCATACGTTACAAGCGTAGTCTATTATAGAGTCTAACGACGGGTATCCATTTTTTTTCTTTTCTGTCTCGAAGGCAGTAAATGGGTTTATAAACTTCTTCCAAACGAGAATTACGTAAACTCCGCCCACATATACGCGTACGCATAGATACATATATCTAAAAAAGTTTTTTTGAAGGGTAATTAATTAACAATCAATTTAGAAAAAATCAATTATTAATAAGTAGTTTTCTTGCAGATAAATTTATTAAACCTTTTTTCCATTACTAAACCATTTACAGATGTGTGTATATGAAGATAGAAAAATTGTATGAAACTCGTATTTTATCTTGTCGATATTATTATAATAACTTAATATTGTCTATAACAGTCAAAACTGTACAATTTACTTGGTCTCATGGATTGTGACAATAACGTGGAATGTGTGTTAGGATCAACCTTAGATTCACTTTCCACAATCGGGAAATGCTGCACTCGTCCACTGCTCCAAGCTATTGTTAAACAAATCCATGACGAAGATTTTTGAAAGAAGTTGATGCAGTTTGGCACTTCTCCAGTAAATCCTTTAATAAGGCAGCTTGCCTGTGCTTCCACTATTCGCGATAAATGACTTAAGCTTGTTTTGACTAGAGCAATAACTGGACTGTCCTGTTGAAGAAACAAATTAACACAAGATGTTCTGCAAGATATTTCATAAGTTATTTATTTGTTTCTTCTGCCTAAAGTTGAGCGCATATCTATTTTATTTTATAAACAACAATGCATAAAGAAGTACAGCTAAATCTAAATTTTTTTTACAAACCTGAAAAAGAATAGCAAGATATTTTCCTGTCGGATCCCATTCCATAGAAACAATTCTACCTCCCACCGTGACATAATCATCATTATCCTCTGATGAGAAATTCACTTTTGTTAAATCGATTAGGCGCGTAGCTATTTTTATATCGTTGTTTGCCTTTTTAACATCGAATATATTATTCTGCAGTGGCAATGAAAATATCGTAGAAGGATCTTCGGTAGTAGCAAAGAGTAACGTTAAATTGGGACCAAAACATGCAGTTGCTACACGACCTTGGGGTACAGTCCATCTTTCTGCATGCCATGGCGTTGGAACGCCAGTATTCCAAACTCTAGAATTAAATATTCACTTCTTTAACTGCATATTTAATTGAGTTCATTGTAAAAAAAGATGTATACAGACTTAAAAGTATTACCTGAAGATCTTTCTGCATGAAGCAGAAAATAATCGCAAGCCACAAGTCGACCAACATGAAAAGCATATACCACCTCCACCAATACGTTTTAGCGGAATTCCTTCCTCTTTAGAAACATTCCAGATTATTATATTTAAATCTGTTGGTGAGCAAGACGCCAACAAGTCACCCTAGAAAAAAAAACGCTTTATAATAGTATCTGGGAATAACAAAAAATTTCCATTATATTTAATTAATATAGGCAGAAAAGGATAGATTACTTGTGGATGCCATGCGACACTTGTGACGGGAGCATGATTTCTTTGACTCAAAAGTACTGCATGGCTAAGTAAATTACTAGCTGCTCCCAACTCTATTGTCCAAATTAATACTCCGGAGTAACAAGCCGCTGCTAATTCACGACCAGCATGAGGTCTCCAACTTAAACAGCAGACTGACTTTTGTGCACTATGTCTCAATACTGGCACGCCTAATAAACCTTGCGAAAAAATACGAATTCTATCGTCTCTCATAGCCACAGCCAGGCGAGTGCAATGTGGATGCCAGGACAAACATCGTACCTATCATAAATACTTATAAGCGAATTTCGAAAGTCATATATTTATTCTTAATATTAAATGATCCTACCAGCGATGTATGCCAATCTCGTGTAGCAACAATGTCAGCAACAGATCCATTTCCCGACGTCGGCAACACGTCTCTGTGATATATTCCTCTGTCCATTAAATCCAATATCGAATTTAGTCTGAAATCATTAAATATTTTCTATCACACACAATATGAAAATGCATTAACTCTCCGGAGTTGACATGAGAATCTGTGACAGTTATAAATATGCTGCATTTATAAAAGTCATTGATTTCATATTAATTAAAAGTGGCAATAATTAATTTCAAAGAATCAAAATAACAATTCGTATAAAAAAGTATTAATACTAAATATATTTCAATAAAAAGAATCAAAATTTACATCTTTTCTAAAATTTATCATATTTATGAATTCTAATATTTTATGATTTCTAAGATTTTTCATTATATAATTTCTGATAAAACCTTATAAAATCTAAAAAAAGTTTGATATTTTTCCAGGAATTATAGACTAAGAAATTTGAGAAATCTTATATTTGAAAATACACACATATAAATAATTCTAAGAAAAAGTGTGGACTTGTTCAATATTTCTGAAAAATGTTCCAATTTGTATAAGAATTCAAGAAAAAATTTTTACTAGATTTTGAGTAGGTCTGATAGATCCACATCATCTAAAGAATTAAGTTCAGGAATACAATGAAGACTGAAATATTATACCTTGTTGCAATCCAATGTACAACATTTGTGATCTGTTCTGGATCTGTAGCAGCGGCAAAGCGAATAGCCTCAGACAATCCTCTTTCTCTCCATACATTGGCAATCTTTTTAAAGATGCTATCGTGAACGGGAAGAAACAATTCACCAGCGCTGATTGTACGTGCAGTCTCACGGGTTGCAAGAATCTCCTGCGTGATGGAAACCTCAGGGTAGTCACGCAGGTACTTGGCGAAGGGTTGCATCTCGTCCTGCAGCGCATCGTAGGTACAATAATGGACAACGCCTTCTATCAAACCGACGGCGGCCACATCGCCAAAAGCGGGACCCTCGAAATCGTGAAGTGACAATATCTTGAGCATCTTCCTCTCCTGTCAGTCGCCGCTGCGACCTAACCTATACGTTTAATCTGTAAAACAACAAAATAATTACTTACTCAGAACCTTGGTTTTCCAATTATTTACATAAACATATTATGACGTAAATAGGGACAGTTTTTTCATTACCGCGAAAAATGTAGCACCTTAAATATAGACATCTTGAAATATTTGTTCATCTTTAACTTAATCTCGCATGGCGTACATAACCTATCTTCGGTCGAGCGGCCAAAGTAGACAATAGAATGATTTAATTTAACGCTTCACACGAGAAATATATCTATAATTTCAATTTAATTATATTCGCATGACAAACTTTTTTCAGTCATAAAGACTGTCCACGAAAAACGAAAGTATTACCAACTTATGATTGTAAACTCGATATCGTTTGTCACTTCATATTCAACGACGTTAGATTCTAATTCTAGCGTTGTATTTAACTTCAATAAATTATACGTCACACTTATAACACGGTTATAAAAAAGGGAAAAAAGTAAATTCAATATTTCTACGTACAAAAGATACTAATAATAAGCCGTACTAATTCATCGATCCTTATTTTCTTTTTTCTCGGAAACACTGCACAAGTTTGATGTAAAATCCGTTTAACTTGGCTGAAATTCAAGTGAAAATTATATATTATGTTCACACATATTTCGTTTACACGTGCGTGAAATAGCGCGTCTCGAATAAATAAAGTAAATGACCTGAAGACGAGAGACAAAATGCAATGACTTATGACAGCGAGAAGTACGAGAAACCTCAAAACCTGAAGAAAGCCGCGAAGGCGCGAATGCGGCGAATCGCCGCGATTGTCGCGATCAGCCGGAAAAAATGGCGCGTCGTTGTTTACGCCGGTTGCCATGGCAACAGCCAATCGCGACGCGTGGCGACGGGGGCGCATGCGCACCGCGCGCGAGGCGAGCAGTTCGAATCTCCGAGGGAATCGCGGACTGCGGAGTTACAATCGGCTCTAATCGGTGCTTAGAATTCGACAAAATTCACCGCGAAGACTCGGTTCACGAACACGATTGCGAGGCGGGCACGACGCAGCTGCACTGCAATTCTTATCCGCTCAAAGATCCCACCGAGGAATCGAAACAACCGGCATTGCGGCGGCGCGTACAGGTTACGCGAGGCACATCTGCACTTTCTGCACCCGTTTGCTAGCGACCGCCTATCCCTCTCGTCGCGTCGAATGAATTGGAGTAAACGTCAGGTACGTGTTGCTGGGAATCCTCCTAAATTGTTTACATTTAGAACGAGTGAATATATATTCGGGGGTTGAAAAGACAGAACGCGAAGATTTTGAATGCAAAAGATGCAAGCAACGCGAATAGGCCTATGTACCACCTCGGGTGCTTTTCATTTAGTGTCGTTCTATCTTTGTTATTCACTGAATGTGAAGAAAAAGACAGAACGATGCTGTCGACTCGTGAGTCGTATCATCAAAGCACGGAAAGCATCCATCGTTTCTCTCTCTGTACGCAGAAGGTGCAGCTGAGTGCAGTAAAACGCGGTCGAGAGGAGCAGTCTGGAGCAGTCTATCGGCTCGTCACGGCGACGGTCATTCCGGAGGAGGGAGAACCTTCGTGAAGAAAAGAGAGGGAGTGAGGAAGAACGGTGCGAGGTGGTGGGTGGTGGAGCATCGGCAAGGGTGAAGTGGGGTGAGGTGAGGTCCGCAGTGTGCGGTCGCTGTTCGAGCGGCATGGATTACATATTAGAATTGCTCGCGTAACGATAGAGAGACCGAGAAACTTTGCCATTTCGCGAAAGCGATATTCCGCGCCGTTATACATTTTAACACGTCGTCGAGTCGAACGAACGAACGAACGAACGAACGAACGAAGTGATCCATAAGGTTCGTAGGACCTGGGCTTTTTTAACCCTCCCCCTCCCCCACCCCGCTCCTCCCTCCAACGATCGACGAGCAAGCGAGCGACGGCGATCCTCGCGATGCTACCGACGAGGTAGTGCGCGAACCGTGTCCGAGAGAATGTATCGCGCGATGACGATCGCGGAGCACCGAGGGTTATTAACGTCCTAAAAGGGAGGAAGAGGAAGAAACGAACAAGGCGGATCGAACGTGGAAAATCATCGCGGCGCAGGACGAGACGTAGAGCGAAAGAAGAAGAGGTGGTAGCGACCGGTGGTGGTAGTGGAGGTGCGGGCGACCGCGAGAGATGGGCAAGAAGGGTTCCAAGCGGAAGACCCGATGGAGAACCCTGAGCATCGGTGGTGAGTAATATTTCCACCTTCTGTCTGCTTCTCTACCTTCGTATATACCTTCGAAGATTGCACGTTTAGTCTCTGTCTTCTCATTCGTTCCAGTGACGGTGCTCCGCCTCCTCGCGTAATCTCGCGGAACGCTTTCCTCGCGAAGCGGGCGATTCCGCAGCGCGGGTGCCGCGAAGCGTGCGACCGGTCATCGATCAACGGCGCGCGCGAGAGAGAAAGAGAGAGAGAGAGAGAGGTCAGGGGACAGAGAGAGGAGGGAAGAGAGGGAAAGAAAAGAGGAGAGAACGTTATCGTGTTATCGCGAGGAGATTCCCTGGGTCTCTTCTCTTCCTCCTCTTCTGTCGTCTTCAGGGTACCGATCGTGTAATTTATTCCCTACGGCGGAAACGTGAAAAGTGAATAATTTCTTATGAAGTCTGAGATATAATTGAAAGCACAGACAATAGGACAGCGGGTCGATCATGTAATGTAAGTCTTTCTCTAGACGGAAACGTGAAAAAAAGTGAAAATTTCTTTTTGCGTATGTGTACATACGTATATAAAAATTTTCACTTTTCACGCTCCAGAGAAGTTACGTGATCGATACCCAGGGAATAATAGAGATTCAAACCTCTATATTAGAATAAATGATTTCTAATAGATTGAACAATACTAATACTGTATTATTCTTAATTGTTTCTATTTTGCCTGTATTTTGTTATTATGTCTCAGGGGGTTGATTATGTATCTTGGAATGAGGTGAAAATTACAAAAGAACAAAATTCACTAGGGGTAGACCGATGAAATTACAAATATCCTAATAAATTTATTCACTTCTGTAATTTTTCACCTCTTTTCGAGATATGCGATCGACTTTCAGGAGGTCAATTGTGTATCTCGAAACATCTGGAGCTTGATTGTGTGCCTTGAAATGAAATGAAATTGACAAAAATGAGCAAAATTCACTAAGTTGATCAATGAAGTTATAAATATTGTATCGAATTTGCTCACTTTTATGACTTTCCATCTCGTTTCAAGATACATAATTGATCTCCAGGCTTAACTTCAGTGATAAAGAAAAATTTTTACTTCAGAAGAAATTACATGATCATTTCCCAGATTTGTTTTTCGTCTCGTGTTTCTTCCACCTTCCTCTTGGATGAGCCAAGCCCTCGAAGAGGAGAGGAAAAATAAGAACAACGGACTTGCTATTCTTGTAAACAATAAGCCGAGAGCGTGATGAGAATTTCATGATCATGCCGCGTGAATCGGTCTCCTCGGTCGATCGTAGTAAAGTTCCTGTAAGTAGAATAGTTCATCCCGTCCTCCTATAAGTAGAATATTTCATTCCTCATCCTGATCATGCGGAACATCCGAGAGATCTCTTTCTGGGCTGGATGTTCTCGCGAACCATGAAATTGCGAAACCAAATTGCCCTCCTCCTTTCCCTTCATATCCATGTAGTCTTCATGTAAAAAGGACATAAAAGATGAACGTCGCGGCTGTAGAATAACAAATAAAGACATTAGTCTCTAGAACGAGGACTCTGTACTACGCGACTTGCGTACATTTCCGATTTTGACAATGTGTCTGTTTATTTAATTGCGTGAATAGTCAAAACTCTTTTTTCGAGTAACTTAAGTTGAACTGGATTTACTTGACGCGATGTCGAATTTTCGACTCGTAAAAGCACCGGATAGAGGATTCTATAATCACGACGATTATCTAATCGCGAGAAGTCACAGCTTCTTGGAAAACCCACGTGAATTCTAGTTCTTACTGTTTATTCCTAAAGCCTTGTGTCCACGATGCTAGAAATAGTTCGAGATTCCAGACGAAGAAATAATTGACCAACCGCATTGTATCCAGCAAGAAGTAAAAATTTCCAGCATCATGTACGTAAGGCTTAACTTTTGACTTGCAAAAGCAACATTGTGTGTGGCTGCAATGAGAAAAATTTCTGATTGAAAATGAACCCAAATATTTTGATTATGTCAATTAGAATTTTGATTATTGCAACTACAATTATAGTAGATTTAATCAGAAATTTTTGTTTGCTGCCCCCCCCCATTTTTAACCAAAATTCCAATTAGTGCAACCAGACTCTTTCGTGCAACCATTTACTGGAACGAAGATTATTCCTATTATTTCTGTTATTATATGTACTTTATTATATATATTTTATTATGTATATTATTATTATATATATTTTATTATGTATATTATTATTATATATATTTTATTATGTATATTATTATTATATATATTTTATTATGTATATTATTATTATATATATTTTATTATGTATATTATTATTATATATATTTTATTATGTATATTATTATTATATATATTTTATTATATATATTTCTATTATTACTCTCATGAAAGATCATACACATGTTCGAAGTAATTGAAGGTAATCGAAGATTTACCTTTCGCAAAAAAAAAGAGTTTAAACTCGCGCTTTGTTTGCATACATTTATAAGACCCGATTCGATTAACATCAGTTATATTCATTTCTACCATTGTAAATTAATTTCAACCTCGATTTTACTTACTTTTTAGCATAACAATAATAACCAATTCAAGGTTAATAAGAGAGGATGCGCAATATTAATGTGTAATGATGACTTAACTCCATTTTTTGTGATGTCGTCTTTATTCAAAGTATTGATTGTCAATACTTTGAATAAAGAAGATAATTAATTAAATTAATTATTATTGTTATTTTAAGAAGTGAGAATCCTACTGAAATATTCTTTGGTTTACTTTTTAGCTTTTTCTAAATCTTTGAATTAGAAAAAAGTACAAAGTTAAAATGAGATTGAAGTTAATCTAAATTGAAAGAAATGAACGTTAGTTTACTTAATGGCAGTCAACTGGATTATCTATATTATAGTGAATAGTACGGCTTGAATGGAAAGAGAATGAATAAGTAATCAGTTAAACACGGTGAGAGTTAATCAACATCAACAGAATTAATTCCAACCATAACAATAGATCTCTCGAATCGTGTCTCTGTCGTCCGATTTCGCGCGAAAAGCCGAAGGTTTTTCGAGAAACTCGACGCGATATACTCGAAGCGTTGATCGTTATCGACAGTTATAAACTTTCCATTCTGAAAACAAAGAAAGAAGATTCCGAATTTACGCGACCGGGTCTGCGCACGTACATGCCTAACTGCAATAATAGAAGTGTCTATCTCGAAATCTTGCGCGAAGAATCGGAGCTCTATACGAGGAAACTCGCGAGGCATTTATTGTTACCGTAAGTTATCCAATTTGTTCATTCTGCCAGAACGTCGAGTCTCCGGAAAGACTTTAATCGTGGCGATTTCCGAATCTCGCGCGAAGAACTGCAGCTTTTTCGAGCGAGGAAAGAGTTAGAAGCTCGAGACATTCGAGTCATTTACTAAAGCGACAACTAAAATTTTTCTTTTCTTAATTCTTTCCACGACGGTCGAGGGAATTTCCGTCGAGAAGTTGCCTGAACCTTTCGGGGGAAATTCGATACGGCATTAGCTGTTGCCGATTTCACCCTCGGGGAGAGTTTACTGAGCGTTTCACTTGTCTTACAACTTCGTGATGTTAACACTTAGATATTACAGAAGCAGATGTAACTCAATCTCTTGAATTAAATAACATTTTGTTATTTTTAACTTCCATTCATGTCAAAATGTAATTCAATTCATTTCTGTGGTTAGTTTCAAAGTAAACATCGTCCATATAAACGTATGTATTTAGTAGATGCTGAATTAAATTTGAATTAAATTTAATACATTTTTTTAAGTTAAATTGTTTAACTGTATTGTTTTAGTCAAAGCATGATTTTAATTAACGATATATTGGAGCAACGACGACCTAATAGAAATGATTAAAAATAAATTAAATTGATTATAATTTGACTTTATAAATTTAACGAAATAATGATTGTGCAGAGAAAGTAGCTTTGCAACTATTGTGAAGCCTACGGTGCATTTTTTCCTGCTAGATTGCTTGCATTTTAAATTATTAGAATTACATGCATGCATTATTAGAATTCCATACAGAACATAGAATTTCTACTAATTTACTAAAATGCAAACAATCCATAAGCAATCGACTGAAGATTCTTTAATATGATTGATTTATATTTAGATTTATATTTAGATGCGGCGAGGAGTTAAAGGCAATTAGCTTAAAGAACTTTAGAATAGTTGCAAAGCTGATTTTTCTGCTGAAGCAGCCCATAATGAGTACAATTCATGATCTGCAATTTATTACTCGTATAAAAGCGCCTCCAGCATGGCCAATTTTACGCGTATTCACTAAATATTGGTCTGCTTTCATATGGTAATTATGCAGGGTGTCTCACAACTATCGAATTTCCTCTTAAGGACATATTCTAGAGGTAATTTTGAGACGAAAATTCTAATACGAAAATGTCGAGGCTACAATAATTTTTTGAATCATAAGCTAACTTTAAATGCTTATAAGTAAAAAACCATTCTATTTTTAGAGCCTCTATTATTATTTCTGGATTCTTTTGAACATTCTAAGACGAAAATCCTAATACGAAAATATCGAGGCTATAATAGTTTTCGAATTACACACTATCTTTAACCAATTATAATTCAAAAACTATTGTAGCCTCGATATTTTTGTATTAGGATTTTTGTCTCAAAATTAAGAGGAAATTTATTAATTATAATTCAAAAACTATTGTAGCCTCGATATTTTTGTATTAGGATTTTCGTCTCAAAATTAAGAGGTAATTAATTAAGAGGAAATTTGGTAGTTGCGAGATACCCTGTATATGCATATCGTGTGTGTGTGTATGTAATATTTGCTAATGTACATTGGCCATGTTATCTGAAATTGCTTTGAGGATCTTCATTGAAAAAAAAAAGTTATAGGTATTAATGGCATTACTTTAATTGAAAATAATTTCATTAATTTAATTCATAACATTAATGAAATAAATACGTTATGCTCTTGTTTTAATAAATTTTTATTTATTTCATTAATATTGTTATTATA